TTTCATGATAGACTTCACTTTCAGATGAAAATATTCCATTTGATTCTCGATTTAAATTTTCATGTTTAGCTCGATGTTTTTCATCATCAAGTACATAATTATCACTTGGAATTTCTTCAACTTCACCTTCTTCAGATGAACTATAACGGGCATGCTAAAGAAGAGAAAAGAAAATTTTTTAATTAAATAAAAGAAAAGAAAAAAACAAAAGAATAAGTTTAATTTACTTTATTAAATGTTTTTCGTTGTTGATAAGATGGACTTCGATCATTTATTGTTGGTGTTGATAATTGAAAACTAACATTTCTTGGATATTTACGTAGATCATTTGTTTTTTCATTATCATTTATACGATTTTTATTTTCTAATTCATCTATTTGTGGAGTTTGTTGATCAATGGAATTTGATCTAATCGAACGTATTGTTATTGAAGATGGTGATGATACTTTATTAGTGTTTAAATTAAAATTACGCCGTCGACGTTGTCGAGAAAGATTATGATGTTGATTGTCATCGAAATTCTCTGGATCACTACTAGATGATTTACGTAAAGCATAAGTAAATATAGTTGAAGGTCGTTCATGAATTGTTGGTGATATTTGTGAAATTATTGAATTGGGAAGATCAAGTTTAAGAGTTTTAGGATTTAATTGTCGACTATGAATTTTTGATTTCGAATCTACATCAGCCGAAATCGATGGTATTACAGATTTCATTGATGTCATAGGAAATATTTCGGCTGGTGAATTGAATGTTTGACTTTTTGGAAATATTTCTTCGATCATGTTTGGTGTTACATTTATAGAAGCACGTTTTTTTTCTTGATCTGCAATTGCAGAAAGACTTGGTGGTGTCCATGATGCTGCACTTCCTTTACTATTATTACGACGATGTCCTGGACCTTTTTTACGTCGTTGTATAGTTTTAATACTTGGTGGATCTTGATTAGTGTTTGTTGTAGGCAACAATGATAATGACGTTGGAATATTATTTGAATGAATTGAAATGTTATTATATGAACTAATTGACGGTTGATTATTCAACGCTGTATAATGCAATAAAAAAAAAGAAACATGCAATTTCAGAAAGAAAAATATTGTATTGCACGAGATTGTAATTTCTTTGGTGTTGTGCAATATGTCTAAATTATTTTTTCTTTATATTATGACGTCAGGAAGTATTTTTTTTACATCTAAAAATGTGGTTTCTTAACTGATCATTGAAAAAAAAACCACTGATGGAAGACATATTATTACAAAAAAAAGAGTTTTAATGATTTCGAATAGAACTTGGAAAATAAAAATATATTATTGGTTGAATTAAACAGGAATATATTGATCAATAGTAATCATTTGTTTTCCTTTATAGTTAAAGAATGCTTGTCGGTCATAAGGGATTTCAGAAAATAATTTTTATGTATGAATTGTACTAATGAAAATTCATAATTTTGTTCTAATTAACTACTGTATTGAACTCATAAAGTTTTGTCGTAAAAAAAAAGTCTTTATCCAATCTGAACCATTTCAACAAATCATGCTATTGAAATTCCTTTTCTTTTTTTTTTAACTTAAAGTATATTTTTGGTATTATGCACGTTCAAGGTAAAGCTTATTCATACCTTTAATATTTAATGAATGTATGCAGTAGAATTATCTGATTTGCAATTGAAAAAATTTAACTTACATCCATTATTTGATTTAGTTGAATGTCCTTGTTTTGTTGATATTTGAGATAACTTCATAATTGGATCATTTAAAGCAAAACTTGCCGCTTTGATTAATTGTAAAGATTTTTTCCGTGCTTCTGATATAGAATTATTTGATCGTTTTTTTCCATTATTCTTTCCTGATGATGAATGATGTTGTATATTAAGTAAACGTTCTTTTTTTTTAATTTCTTGTTCACGTTTTTGTAATTGCATCATTAATGATGATAATTCAACATAAAGTGTATTAACTTGTTGTAATTTTGTTTGATAATGTGATCGTATATCAGCAATATGTTGTAATTCTTCTTTACGTTTTTTCATTAATTCATCATTTGTCATTTTAAGTGTTGATGATATATCAATTGTTGGTAAACGTGCTAATTGTTCATTAATTTCAATTGACCATACACGTGTTAATTCAGTATATTCTTGTTCTTGTTCAAATAAATTAATTTCTGGTTCACTAATATTTAAATGTTTTATTATTTGTTGAAATGATGGTCGATTTAATGGTCGTTGATTCCAACACATTGTCATTAATAATTTAAAACCTTCAGGAGCAGATGATGGAATTGGTAATGTTAAACTACCTTTACCAACACCTAAAAAAATAAAACGAAAATTATTGATAAGAAATAAAAATAAAAATAAACTTACCCCACATAACTGCACTTGGATCTATATTATGATATGGTACTGCACATGTTAAGATTTCCCAAAGAACAATACCAAATGACCTAAAAAAGAAAAAGAATATGATCTAGTGAAAAAAATGAATTTTCAATTGAGTATGCATAAATAAATTATCAATTAAAAACTATAGTTTACTTCTCAACCAATAGAAAACGGACGTTTGTCATCAAGGAGGAAGTGCATATTTGGAACTTCCAACACCATAGCACCTTTTGGTACTGATACATATTTGAACTTCGACTGAAAATTAAGGTGATAACTATGAGTGAGAGTCTTACTCTTTCAATTCGATTTTTTTGTTATAAAATTTGACTAAATGCTTTCGAAGTCAAGAAATTCGAATCTCTAATCGGTTTTTCAAAATTCTTGAATCCAATACTTCCGGTCAAGGAAGCTTATTTCAAACAAAATAACTTAATTTTATGAAATATGAATAAACTGTAGGAAACCCACTTCCAGTGACCGGAATAATCGAATTCAAGAATTTTGAAAAACTAATTAGAGACTCAAGTTCCTCGACTTTGAAAGCATTTTGTCAAATTTTATATAAAAAAAAAAATCGAATTGAAATAGTATGACTCTCATCCACAGCTATTACATTAATTTTCAGTCTAATTCCAAATATGTATCAGTATCAAAAGGTACTATGAGTTTCAAATCTACACTTTCTCCTTGTTGTTATCTGATTGATTAAATAAACAATAAATGACAAATTTTATAGATTAGCTTATCGAATTTCATTCTTTCGTATCATAAAAATCTTAGGTCGTTAATCTTTTTCATTCTTATTATAATAACCAAAGAAAAAATCTTTTTTTGTTTTTATAGAATAAATTCTTTCTTTTCAAGAAATTGTTTCATACCAAACATCAACTTTTTCTGAACAAGGTTCTTGTCTAATAACTTCAGGTGCCATCCAGGCTGATGTTCCATTAAATGACATAATTTTTCCTTGTTTAGTTCCTAACTGTTTACTTGTACCAAAATCAGAAATTTTTAAAATAGAATTATCAGCAATAAGAATATTTGGTGATTTTAAATCTCGATGAACGATTTTATTTGAATGTAAATAATTAACACCATTAGATATTTGTTTTGACCAATCAAGAATTTGTGTTGGTTTTGTACAAGAACTTTTTTCACGACGTCTTTTTAATACATCATATAATGAACCATATGCACAATATTCCATAACAATATAAAATAATGGTGAAGCAATAGAAACACCTTAAAGAAAAATCAAAATAGCTGAATATATGAGAAAAGAAAAAAAAATAGAATAAAACTAAAAACAAACCTCGAAATTTAATAACATTAATATGATTTAATTTTTTTAAATGTTTTATATTTGTTTCTTCTTCACTTTTTACTCGTTTACATGCAACATTTTGACCACCAAGTTTACCAAGATAAACTGAACCTTCAATTCCAGTACCAATCAATATTAAATCATTCATTATACTATCAATTGGAATTTCCCAATCATCGACTGGTTTTGATAATGTATTTGTTGCATCTCTAGCAGATTTAATATTTTCACCAAGTTTATTTACTGCAGAAAATATTGGTTTTAAACAACCGAGAAATGTATCGATTAAACCATTGTTATCATCACTATTTGTATCACCATTATTTGTAACGCCTTGATATTTAACTTCAACCTGAGATAGTTCATCATCAATTGTTGTTAGCGAGGGCCTTCGAAATACTACTGGTGGATCACGTGCACCTGTTGGTGTTGATGGTGCTGAACAAGTTGTTAATGGAGCAATAGATTCTTTCGTTAATGTAGGTGGTTCATGTTCATCTTCTTCATCATCATCATCATCTAAATCAATGCTTTCCATTGAATCCATTGTTAACGAACTATAAATTACATATCATCGTATAGAAAAAGAAAAATAAGAAGAAGAAAACTAACCCGAGATCCATATGTGGTTCATTAAATGGATTGTGATCGAGTTCATCGGATGATGAAATACCGTTAAGAACAGCCGTATTAAGTGGTGGATTCAAAATGATAGTCTCATCACTTAAATCAGGTGCTGGCGACATATCTACTAAATAACCTTTAACTTAAACGCCGCTACCTAGAGGTAGCTTCTAAAAACAAATATGGTTATGTCGCAAAACTTTTTTGTATAATTTTTAAATTGTCATGTCTTTTTTCCGCTCGTTTCTTTATATGTACGCTGATGTTATGGTAGCAAATAACTTAGAGCCATAAAACACCAATATATTTGTTTATTTATTTTCTGTTAACCAATCAAATTTTATAAAGAAACCTCTTGATTGTTCTGCTACATTAAAATAATATGAACTAAAAGAAAATTTCAAAATAATTTTTCTATGTAACTAAATATTAAAATTCACTTAATAAAATATAAAAAAATTTTCGAATCAAAACTTACTTATGCAACCTCCTTGAAATTCTGTCTTGACTATATGTAAGACGATGTTTGCATGAGTCATTCAATATTCTTTTGTTCGTGTACTGATGTGCATTTCTTTCTTATCTTTTACGTAAAGTTTTTTTTTTTTTTTCTTTATAGAAAATATAGCTGCTGTTTAATTTAATTCCTTCAAATCAATAACAACCATGAAAGTCTTTATTGATGTATTTACTGGTGATGAATTATGTAGCGATTCATACCCAATGAAAGTAGTTGATGATGTTTATTATGAAGTTGAAGGCAAAGTAAGAAAATTTATTTCCAAGGAGAAAAAAAAACAAAAGATTATTTCATGAAAAAATTTTTAGAATATTGTCGAAAGCAACGATATTGATGATGCATTGATTGGTGGTAATAAAGCACCCGAAGGTAGTGAAGCAGTGGACGACGATGGTGGTATTGCATCATCAGCAATAACTGGTATTAATGTTGTTTTAACTCATAAATTATTTGAAACATCATTTGATAAAGCTGGTTTCAAAGATTGGTTAAAAACATATTCAAAAAAGTAAAATAATTTTATTTTATTTATAATTTTATTTTTGTTTTATATTAGACTTAAAAATTATCTTCAAGAAAATGCACCTAATCGTGTACAACCTTTTCAAGCAGGCATGACAAAATTAGCCAAAGAAATTCTCGGGAAATTCGATGAATATCGTTTTTATCTTGGTGAAAATATGAATACTGATGGTATGGTTGTACTTCAATTTTATCGTGAAGATGGTTTGACACCAGTATTTATCTTTTTCAAAGATGGACTTAGAGAAGAAAAATATGTAAGTTAAATATTTTTTATTATTTTTTTAAATTCTTACTTTTTTTAAAATTTTTATCTAGTGAACAAAAGCAGCAAAATTAACATCGATTTATTATTGTTATCATCACTTTTTTTTCCACTTCATACTGTTCTTTTTGTCTTCAATCAAATTTATTTTTCTTCTTTGTTCACAACATTTGAATGACTAACATCTTTTATATTGTTGAATATTAGAAGAAAATAAGAACGAAATAAATTTAACAAAAAAAAAAAAAATTGATTTACAAGAAAAGAAATAAAAATGTTTATGTTAAAGGAATTGAATCGATATTGATTGATAATGAATCATCAGAATGTAATTTTGAAAATAGAGTCTAGAAAAAAAAGAGAAACATAAAACAAAAAAAAAAATTGTCAAGGTAACCCCACGAAAGACCAAAGTGTGGAACTCGCAAATTCTGACTGTTATAAATTTATGATATATTGCCAGAGGGGTTAAAATAGTTTATTTAAAAAGATCCTAAATTAATCAATTTTTATAATTGATATACGCGTTCTGAAATTTTATCATTTCCAAAAATGTTTGCATTTAGAACAACACAACTTCCATTCTTCTAGGAATAATATGTACGAATACATGCCATAGGCAGCGATTAATATTCATTTTATTGTTCGTTTCGTGAATTTAATGATCGTATTAACCTGCTATAATACATATTGATTTAATCGTTCAATAATCTTCCGAACATACCATCCTTTCTCTCAACGAATTTTGACCTATACTGTTGAGTTTAATCTAAACTTCGAATTCAATTAGTTCATATTTTTCTATGTTCGACCTATTCTGATTCTATTAGATTCATAATACCATCACTCCACTCATTGGCATCTACAATAAAAATCTTCTATTGTATTAAATACTCAAACTCGGAATATTTAGACTAGTTAGAATCTACAGTAGAAATCTTATATTTATAGAATGCTTTGTAAGACTGTAGGAAATTGCGCAATAATCTGAGCGCTTTTATAACTAACGCACCCAATGAGCTTTGGTCTCCCCCGCTTACTAGAAAAACATCTCCATTCACTGTCGGCCTCCCCCTCTTCGCCACGTTACAATGCAAACGTACCTAATAATCTTCGGTTTTCTTCCTCCTACCTACGGTTGATAGGACCTAAGGGGAGCCACAAAAACTTTGACTCAAACTTACATTCACTATTTTCCTCAAAACTATATGTGAATTCCACAGAAAAAAAAAACTAAGAATTGAATGATTTGTAAAAATTTACTGTCACTTTGCTTTGATGTGTATTCATATAACCAACAAACATTGTTTGAGTATTATGTGCACAAAGAAATTCTACTAATCGATTTTGGTTTTCATTTGTGATTAGTTTTAATAGAATAAAACCAAAATATTTTTCAGCATTTGTTGGTGTCATTCGTCGATCTAAGATATTGATTAGTTTATGAATTTATTAATATTAACATTAAATATTTTACTAAGAAAAATATTGTTTATATGATTTCGTACTGTTTCTGGTGTTAAATCATCAATTATACAAGCATCACTAATTGATTTAGAAAAAAGACTTTTCATAAGAAATTCACCAGTGCCTAATTGAAAATAAAATCAATTAAAAAAAAACGAATCAAATTCGAATAGAATAATAAAAAAAACCTGAAGATGCAACTGCTATTGAACATGAATCATCTTTTCGTTCTGCCCAACAACCACAACCAAACCTTTATAGAAGGAAAATTTTTTTTTATTAAAAATTTCATTTTTTCTTACATAGCTGAATGTCCTACACGACCAGAATGTTTTAAGAGTATTCCGCCACTTGATGCAGCTGCTGCTACATTTCCATTTCGATCAATGACAATAGCACCAACTGTATCTAATCGTTTAGTATCATTCACATCATCCTACAAAAAAAAAGAACAAAAAAAAAGGCTATAAGATCAATATTTGTTTAATACCGTTTTCATCTTTTTAGTTGATTCTGATGTATTTTCATCTAATTTTCTTTTGTATTTTTCAAACATAAAAGTACTATTTTCTAAAGAAAACAAAATATTTATATATGAGATTTAATTGGTAAGATAAAACCTGTCTTCATTTGTTGGTTATCAATTAATGGAAGACCATTTTGTTGTGCCCATTGTTTGGCACCGTCACCAACGAGGAAACTATTTTAAAAAAATATTTATTATCATACATTTGTAGGATATATCGAATATGAATAAAATCAGTAGAAAATAAAGATTTTTCTATCGAGAATTATTCTTATAATAAATTCAAATAAAAAAAACCTAAAATATTCTATATGAAAAGATTCTTTGGTTTGCTTGAAAAGTCTCAATTAGTATAATGATCATTTTTATTTGGACTCTCTTAAGAATAACCTGAAATTTTTGTGAAAACAGATCTAAGAAGAATGTTAAAGTATAGAGATGAAAATTTGCACTCACTTCCCCATATTCCACGGACCGTGACAGTCACCTTGACTATTCTCTCCTTGAAAGTGCGAAAAACAAATATATCGTATTTCACATTTTCATCCCACAAGGATTGCGCTAACAACTCTTTTTTTTCAAAAAAATCTAGTAGTTTGAGCAATGTAAGAAAAAAAACATATGATTCAAATGATGATCAATTTATTACAAAAATTCATAATTCATGGAGTAATAGAATGATTGTGTTATTGTTCTAAGAGAAATTTGTCAATCACATTGGCTTTAAGAAATGTTAAGCATCGATTAGCCTTTGAATAAAATGATTTTTAATTTTTTATCTATTCGATCGATCAAATAGTTAAATCTATTCAATAAAATTTCATTTTTTTTTCTTTATTTACCATGGTGGTATTCGACCACCTTCCATAAGACCTTGTTTTTGTGTATGTAATAAAGCCCATGCTAGTGTTATTGGATTTTTTATACCTTTAAATAAAGAAAAAACAATATTTGAACAATCATTTATAATAAACTAGTCAAATACAAAATTCGATTACCTGAAACAGCTCCTATTGCACCATAACTTTCTTCATCCATAATTGATGCATCACATTCAACATTTCCATCTAAAGTTAAATTTGAACCCATACCAGCATTTGTTAATGGACAATCCTGATAAATAAATAAAATTTTTTTTTCAATAAACACAACATTAAAAATTACTTCAAGTACAGCAACAGCAATACATGCTGCTTCGGATGCATTTTTTCCATTATTTAATACTCTTATTCCTTGTAAACAAGCTCTTTTTATCGTTTCTTGATATCTTGGTAGTCGTGCTTCAGATTGAAGACCAGCGCCTAAGACAAAAAAAAATCTATACTCTTACATTTAATATATTTTTCACTTGACCTACCAACATGAACTGCTATAAAACCTGCATGATTAGTTTCTGTTTCAGTCAAATCAGCCATATGTCTTTTTCAAAAGGAAAAAAAATCTTCAATGAAATGTTCTTTTATTTTCAATACATATATTATAATATTTAAAAAAAATAAATAAATTATTAAAGTAAATGTATTCTTTATTAACGGGAAAAAAAAAACTTGAAACTCGTTACCGAAAAAAAAACAGACAAAATATCATTTAATGACGCTGAAAGATGCTTTAAAAAGTGTATGTAAAACTGAGATTATATTTAGGATGATATTTTAGGTTTATCGAAACGATTTTGAAGATTTTTCAAGAATGTTGAATAAGGACAATAATAATCTTGACAGTCTGGCAATATTTGTGCCTAAAAAGATATCAAATATAATTATATAAATAAATATTAACTAATCATTAACTTACTTCACCATCAAACTTAACTGTCACATATGTTTCATCTGGATTAGTTTTCGAAATAAAATATTTTATTAAAATATATGAAGCATATTTAGGCCAACGCATTTCAAAAATCTATAAGTAAAAATATTAATTTAATAAAAATTACAACTGATAAATATACTTCAAAAGCCATGGCTAGTGGAATTAATGTACTATCATGACCAGAATAAATAAAAAATTTATGATAAGGTCTAAAATACAAAAACAAATTTCTTCAATAAAGCAAAAAAAAATATATATATAAATTTATACTTCTTTAAATTATTATTTTTTTCTTCAAGATAATTTTTTAATATAGAATTAAAATTTTCCCTCATTAAATAAAGAATTGGTCCACAACCTGCACGTATAAATAAATCATAACCAATGGCTGTACTTTAAAAAAATACAAAATCTTTAGAATTCCTTAATTTTTTTATGAAAAAAAAATTTTACCTTATATAAACATATTCACGTGCAGACATGATTTCAAAATCTTTTACCAATTCAAGAATATCTTCTGGAACAGTAAAATTATGAGCCTATTATATACAAAGATTAACAAACAAAAAACAAATACTCATTTTGTTTGTAAGACAAAAGAAAAAAACACTAACTTGTCTCGAAACAATATCATCGTATAAACCAACAATACCATGTGGAGATTCAGTAAAACCTGATGATTAAATTATATCATATATAAAAATTAAATTGAAATCGAAAATTTCTTACCAATACGATTTATTAACGCTTGTCGAGCTTTTTTTAATTCATGATCATCATTTAATGACATATAAAAAGATGGAACACTAAGGCATTTTTTAAGGATTGGATAAATATTTGGATTAGGAAACTACCGAAAAAAAATGAATATTAATCGATCAATTTGATTTAATATTTATGAATATTTACCATATCTTCATCGGGAAAATGTTGAACTTCCATTTCAAACGGACCTGTTAACATATATTAGATTTTGAAAATAATCTATAGATTTATTATTATTATTATTTACCATTAGCTTGTATCTTATTATCCATTTTAACAGAAGAGAAAAGACCAGCAAGAAATGATCGAGCACTGGCTATTGTTCGATCCATATATGTTGATCGACAACTATAAAAAACAAATATGAACACTTATATTTCATAACAAAGAAATATTCTATTCTAAAAAGAAAACTTTAAGTGCTGAGAGAGAAAATTTCTAAAGTTGGATAATAAAGGGTGACACATAATAAACAAAACAAAATGTTTTCCTCGTTTTAGGATACTTCCAACATATTAGAGACTTCATTTTAGGTTCATACGATAGAGAATTTCCTGCTCTGCAAAACTACTATCTTTGTTTTTCAAATAACTTCTTTTTTTTGTGTCGGCGAAAAATTTAAAATATGAACACCTACTCAACTGTCTAACTGCAATTTCCAATTTTCTGTAGGTATCTATCGATTTGTGTAAGCCTTTGCTCATCAGAACCGATGCTAAAAGTAAAGTATTTAGCATCCATGGGTTGAGAATTTCCTGCTTTCTGCTTCCACGATCTTTTCAAGATTTCTGTTGCTATTATTCAGAAAGAAAAGGCTTTAAATTAACACCTAGTCATACTTTGAGGCATATTTTGAAAAACCATGTTTTCCAAAGCGACACTTGATTCTATGACACGTTTATTCTCATGCTACGGAATGTAGACTTTAATTCTGAGTAAAATTACATTATGAATAAATTGAAGAGTAGAAACATTAGAAAAAGAGCAACCATGTAATTCTGCCAGAAAAAGGTTTTTTCACACTTTTTACTTCAAAAATTTTTCTCATATATATTTCTTCTAAAATTCTAACACATATATCAAATAATACAGAATTTTGTGAAGAACTTTGACACATATTTGAAATATCAACGAAGCCTTTATGAAAAATTTTTCATCATTTCTTGACTGTCATAGTTAAGTGATTAAGTAGGTGTTCATCTTTTAAATTTTTCGCAGACACAAAAAACTGATTTGAAAAACAAAGATAGTAACGGGTGCGGCAGAATAAACGGCCCTCTCAGTATTTTTTGCTGACATCTTTTCAAATTCTCATCTGATTGGGCTAATTTTTTTAAAAGTTCGCGGTCTCAAGGTCTACAAAACTAGTCACTTCATCCGTAATTTCATCGTCGATAAACGTTTTTGGATAACGAAAAGTAAAGATCTTTAAAATATCGTACTTTCAAAGTACCAGAATGGTGATACTCCAATAAAAATTTTTCGTGATTTAAATGGTGGAATAGGTTTAAGAACAATCAAACAATGGTACCAAACGATCCGTCAATCTGACTCTATCACACTATCAAGTCCACTAGGTTGTCCACGTTTGGCCAGAACAAAAGAGAATATTCAAAAGGTAAAACACGGTTTACGCCGAAGAAAAAGAGTATCAGCTCGAAAACTATCAATGGAGCTTGATATTTCCGAAAGAAGTGTTTGGCGAATAATGAAAAACGATTTAGGGCTACGTCCCTATAAAAAAGTTATCGAACCATCACTTTCCTATGATCAAAAGATCAAACGGAAAAAATTTGCAAACTGGGTTTGAACAAATTTCCGAAAGGAAGAAACCACGAGGATTCTCTTTTCGGATGAGAAATTTTTGACACCGATGGTGTCTATAACTCTCAAAATGATCGAGTGTGGACAGTCAATCGTGCTGATGCCGATAAAAATGGTGATATTAAGCAAAGACGAAAGTTCCCACAGAAAGTAATGGTTTGGTTGGATGCCTGTTCCAAGGGCGTAACGCCCTTGGTAATCCTGGAAGAAGGAACAGTCGATCATGTTGTTTATATCGAAAAAAAGCTTCCTGTTGCATTAAAATATGGGAATCACGTTTTCGATAATGAGTAGGTCTTTCAACAAGATGGTCCCAAGCCTCACTCGCATCATTTAACACAACAATGGTGTCGAGAACAATTTTCCATCATTTATTGACAAGGATCGTTGGCCTCCAAATAGTTCTGATTTGAATCCCTTGGACTAATTCAATTTGGGATGAACTTGTCAATACTATCAATTGGAACAAAGTCAAGTCAAAAACAACATTGACTCAACAATTAAAATCATCAGTTAAAAACATTCGTGAATCAGTTATTTTTGAAAGTTGTGCTAGTTTTACCAATCGATCGTATCGCGTTTGTCAAAATGATGGAAATTATTTACGTTAATAAAGAGAATACCGTTTTGTAGAGCTTCAAACGGCGAATCTTTTTAAAAAAATTAGGCTCATTAGATGAAAATTGAAGGAGATATCGTTAAAATACTGAGAGGGCCATATATTCTGCCGCACCCGTTAATTTTATAGAACAGGAAATTCTCTACTGAGTGAACTTAAAATGAAGCTTCTAATGTGTTGAAAAGTGTTTTCAAAAGAGGAAGATACCTTGTCCCGCTTATTACGGGCCACTCATTAGATATCTGGCAGTTATGAAATTTTCAATGGACTGAAGTTCAAGAAAATATCTGAAAAATTGCATTATCATTTTTTGTTCACTTAGGTATTCCATGTAGATATTCTCATCAAAAAGCGTCTGTTTTCTTCTTTCATTTCGTATTGAAGATTTCTAATAGTATTTTTGTACTTGTCTCTTTCTCATGCACTGTTTATACTATAGAATTACTTTCTCTCAATTGTCTAACTTCTGAGAATGAAAGAACTACACAACTGATATATTCAACAGGGAATATTTGCTTAGAGATTATCTATTTAGATGCTCAAAAAAACAATTCATTAAACATCTAAAAATACATTTAACCAAGCGATAGTATTTTAGTAGACATTAGCTGAATTTTTTTTATTGCAACATTTTTACCAAGTACATTTTAGTAATTAATCTGCTTTCATAAAAATAATAAACTCTCTAAAAGATTAGCAAGAAAAGCTCAACATCCTATACTAAATCCTATTACTTTCTTTAATGCTCATAATACCCAATATAGTATTTTTAGAAAATTATCATGCATACTCGAACATTTGATTTTGAAACATGTTTCTTCTCTTCTTCATTCGACTAGTTCTTTTGATCGTATAATAAGATCCGCATGAGAAATTGGGACGATATAATAATTAAATGAAGAAAAAAAGCGTTAAAACAAGCATATAAAGCTGTAATAGATTGCATCGTTCAGAGTTCCATTCCTATCTAGTAAATAAAAACTGTGCCCTCCTTTTTATTATCTCATTATTATACAGTATATAACATATACGGTGAGTGTCAAAGCCATCCAACCATCAGATTATTTTATTTTATTTTGTGTATATCTCGAAAACTAGATGAGCTAGAATAATCTGGTTTTCGGCAGATTATAGCCCATAGTCTCTAATATACAAGCAAAAGATTTTAGCTGAATTCATTGATTTGTTGAGTTTTTATTGATGAGACAATCGTAACACGCCATTTTTCACTCTTTTAAAATTATCGAATCACTTAGCTTTGAAGACGGTTGTGCACGTGTTCTAAATTAAAATTTTCTTCATAATACATGCATCACCAAAACAAATTATGCTCTATATAAGAATACCTTTTATCGTGACTTTTCTTCGAATATGGGTTTGGAAAAGCGATATCTTTGTGATTTATACCGGAAATTTTCAACAGAAAATAAGACAAAAGACATTTTTTTTCATATGGTGCTTAGCCAGTTTTATTGCTCAATATTCAATGTCAACAGTACTAGAAATTGGATAAGATATTCTATTTGAAAAGATATTCGATGTTAGAAAATCGTGTTGGTCATCTTCTAAGTATACAACAACCACACATAGACCTTCTTGTACGGTCTCATTCAACGCATTGACGAAGTTTATAAAAAAATTTTATTCTCTGCCTACAAAGACGTAAAGTGCAAAAATTGGCTATGTATTTAGTGAGGCCTGCACTTAGCCTGTGGGTGACACTGCAGTAAGCTTTTTATTTCTGTTATTTATAATGTAACAATGATTTATAGCTTAAGTACTGCAATCGGTTTTGATTTCAAATATAAAAGTTTTCCACAGAAAATATTCAAACAATTTTTCATATCTCTTGTAATGCGTAAATGAGATCGTATAAGAAGGTTTGTCTGTAATTGGTGTATATGTAGAAGAAGACGAACACAAATTTTCCAACATGAAATGTCTTTTCTAATAGAACATCTCATCTAATTTGTAGTATTCTTGATATTGATATATTAAACAATAAAACTGGCTAAACATCATATGAAAAAAAATTGTCTTTGGCTTTCTTTTTGTTGAAAATCTCCGGTATAAGTAAAAAAAACATGTTTTTTTTAAAACCTATATTCATAGGAAAGTCATCATAAAAAGTACTCTTGATGTAGAGCACAGTTTCTTTTGCTGACGTATGTATTATAAAGAAAATTTCAACTTAGAACACGCATACAACTATCTTCAAAACTACGTGATTGGATAATTTTGAAAGGGTGCAAAATGACATGATGTGATTATATCGTCAATAAAAACTAAACAAATCAATGAATTCAACTGAAATTTTTTGCTTGTATACTAGAGACTATAGGCTATAATCTGCCGAAAACCAGATCATTTTAGCTCATCTAGTTTTTAAGATATACACAAAATAAAATAAAATAAGTTGCTAGTTGAATCATTTTGACAGTCACTATACGTATATATTTTTCTTCTGTTAATTTCTTATTTATGTATCGTTTATCTTGCAAAATATTATTCATGATGATCATAAAAAATAATTATGTCCTAAATTGTAAACAGTCGTATATATTTATATATTTTATTGTATTGTATCTATTCTTTCTTGTCTCTGACCTTTCTTTCTAAGTATTTATTCAACAAAATGCGTAACATATATCATTACTATATCATGAATTAACCCTGAGGAGTAATAAATCTAGTAGAGAAAAAAATGATCTGTCATTTATCTCTCAACAATATATTATATTAATTATGTTTATTGTCTTTAAATGGTGCATTTTTCTACTGCAAGCTAATTATAACTTAGAGACTTTATTTCTTACCAGTCATAAGAAAGGAAACTGTAAGTAAGGATGTGTACATGAAGAAAATAGAAAGTAATCAGACAGCGAAAAGTGAGATCTACCTTTCAAAACTTTTCTCATCAATGATCTTGATACTATTCTACTGAAATAGAACAGATATTATCAATGTTGTTTTTGTTATCTCAAAAAATGTCTTGTAGTCTAATCTTTTTTCGAGTCGTTATGTTTTCGAAGATAGATTTAGCTTTTTGAAAGAAAAACTTTGGAATCAACATTGAATAAAATTACTCAATAGAACATACTAGACATATTGTGAATCATATGTTGCTGGTAAAAGTCCTTTATCATTGTTATCATCAATTAATTCAGATCTTAAAAGTCTTCCAAGTTGAAATAATTGTTTTTCTCCAATAGCTGTCAATTGACCTTTCATTACATTTTCACCAGATACTGACTAAAAAAATTTGAAAAAAAAATTATTTACTTTTCAAATATATATTTCTATTTACTTTTAATTTTTGACCTTCACTTCCAGTAATATCATGTGCTGATAATACTTTATCTTTTGATACAACTTCATTTCCTTTTTTTGTAATTAGTTTTATATCCCATTTTGATGGAGGATAATTTTCTATTTGTTCTTTATTATAAATAACCTAGAAAAAACAAAATACAATAATAATTAAACATAAAATCGAAATTTTCTTATTTTCTTCATTGTAATATACCTCTTCAAGACTAGGTAATAAATTGAGTGGAGTTCGAGCTCCATGTCGAAAAAAAATTTGTGCACCTATCAATTGTAAATCGTTTCTTTCTGGAATATTTTTCATTGATAATTTTTCTTTATTTAAACGTTCATCATTTGTTCTCCAAGCAAGTAAAGACTGTTCATAACGAGAATGTGCATTTTTATCCTCCATATCTACTATTGAAGAATGTGATACTGGTAAAAAAATATCAACTAAACTATCACAGGTTAATTTAAATAATATTGCGAATATTCCTATGGCAAGAAGACACTGTAATATGAAGCGCCAATATCGGCGCATGACCTTAGAGTCTTTTTTTTTTTATTCTTTTTTGAATACCATTTTTCTTGTATCTATAAGAAATTAAAGAACATAAAACTTTTTTTTCTTTAAAATTTTATTTCGATAAACACTAGTTGTTATCTTTCTTTCATGGAAGAACGCAAAGTTGTCACAAACAGTTATTTTTCTTTTCACATATATACACAAAAACACAAATAAAATTTTTCTTTTGTCTTTTTTGTTGTAGTTATTGACTTAAATAGAAAAAAAGAAAAGTAAAGCAGACAAATGAACCATAAAAATAAAAATAATAAATTAATTAGATGAGAGTTTCATCAGCACTGTAGAAATAAGACAAAGAAAAGATTTCTTCTTCAATATAGCAGTAAAAAACAAAGAAAATGATAATGTGCCATTTAAGGTAAAAAAGAAAAATTACATTAGAATTTCGTCACTGGTCGAACCAGTTAATGAAGCATCGATAGCTAAAAAAAAATGAAAACAAATAAATTTATTGCAAAAATTGATTTGTAGATTTTTTTCTATTAATCACTTGACAATTTGAAATATTTATGAGCTGCAGTCGAAGATTAATGTATCAATATATCTTTTATTTTTCTAATCTCGTAGTTTAAAAACTTGCTTCGACTATTTCATTGATTTATTAAATTTAAGAATGAATATTTATTATGTGAAACAAGTCTAATATATAAAATGTTTTAATAATAGGAAACTAAAGTTTTCATTGAAATTTAAATTATAGCAACAACAAAAAAAAATATTTTCAATAATTTTTACTTTACTAAAAAAATTTGTTTTTATTGGTTAAAATGATTTCTTAAATCAGTTAAGAATAATATACATGAAATTTAATTCGAGTTAATAACTATGCAAAGTGATGAAAAAAAAGGAAATGAAAATCATGCTTGATTAAATATGATTGGACTTCACGCTTGGAGTTATGATTGTAAAGTACAATCATCACAGCAAAATCTAAGAATTATTCATTCAGTATGATAATATCTTCAATTATAATTCTATTCTTTCAAAATGTAGTTTCTCATTGAAAAAAAACCGATATATCATTTTATATAGTCCAGAATCACTTCTTAGAAAGAGAAATTTTATCCTCATTAGGCATGCACTCAACTCAAAGTTTGGTTCGGTATTCGGATTCGAAAAATTTCCAATCAGTTCAGACAGTATCGGATATTTGTGTGATCGTCTAAGCATTTCTTGAGGTATATAAGCAATCATGCAAGCACTCTAACTACCAACAACAAAATGTTTTGCCAATCATATTTTTCATGAATACTTCCATCGGTAGTCAACCGCAAAAGAATACCAGGTTCTCAGAACGTCTGAGAACCTGGTATTTTTTTGCGGTTGACTACCCATGGAAGTATCCATCAAAAATACGATTGGCAAAACATTTTGTCATTAGTAGTAAGGTTCGAGTATTTCTGAATAGGATTGACTTTTTTTTTGTATGCCTGTAGACTTTCAGTCTTTGGATCAGTTATTTCACTATGTGTAGATCTACGATAGCCAAGCCTAAAATCGTCTCTTTTGGTTTACTTCTACTTTCTTTTATTAGTTGACTGAAAATGATCACAGTCAAATCCAAGCCTGAACGTACGGGTTCGGTGCATGCCTAATTTTTATTCTATCATACATTTAATTATATCTGAGAAATGTGTAAGTTAAAAATCAAAATACATACAACTCAATGTTCGATTAACTGTTTGTAATTGATCAACAAGTTGTTCTAATTCTCGCACATTCGAATCACTATCACCTGCACTATTATTCGGTCTAAAATTTATCGATATAAAATAAACGAAAATTAATTTATATATATATATTTATGGTTTTTTACTTCAATTTTGCTAATATGCCTGATGAAAGTTGTATTAATTTAATAGCTAATCTTTGTCCATCATCACGCAATGAATCACATCGTTCCTAAAAAAATTAAATAGTATATATTTCAATAAAAATTAATTCACTTACTCCTTCTCTATAAAAACTTCCATTCATTTTTTGATATTGTGATTCACTAGTAACACTTGATACCATTGGTTTTCGATATTTTGATGTTTTTGTTTTTGTTTCTCCTAATGGATTTGGACTTGCTGATGATGATCGATGATGTGATGTTGTTGATATTGTTGATATTGTTCTTGTTTTGAGTAAATCTTGTTTTGGTGTTGAAATATTCTTATTATTATTATTTGTTGATCGAGAATTTACTCGTAATTGTGAAAAATCTTTTTTACTTGTACTACTTGCATTACTATGCCATGATGCACTCATTAAATCAATAGGTAGTTCAGTTTTTTGTAGTTGTTGTCTTGTACGTTGTGCTAATTCTTCAATTTTTGCTTGTGCACGTGCACGACGTAATTCAACAGCACGATTTGTTTGTCCACTTGAATTATTTATTGATAATGATGTTGATGGAACAGATGTTGTTGGCTTTATTATTTGACGTGTTGATAATGGTTTTGATATTGTTTGCTGCTGTTGCTGTTGCTGTTGTTGTTGTTGTACTGGTTTTGATGTTGATGGCATAAGATGCGAACGTTGTCGACGTAATGCAAATGATTTATTCATATAAACTTTAGTTAAACTTGGATGTGATGATAAAATTTCTTCATTATCATCAACATATTTAGTTGTTGTTGTTGTTGTTGATGAAGATAATGCTCGATTATATTGTGTATTAGCTGGCATTGTTTGACGTATGGATGAATTTCGTTGAAATGGTGTTGAATATGTTTGATCATTAATTATGGTATGTGGTCGAAGTGGTAGTTTAGATGAAGATGATACATAATCAGAATGATGAAGTGAAGATTTTAAATTTGACGAAGATGATTGTTGTTTAGAATCATGATGACGTATAGGTTGTTGTTGTTGTTGTTGTTGTTGTTGAAGACGAAATGAAAATTTTTCTGTATCACTTTGATTTGAACGAGCTGAAAGTGGAGGTGATGATGGAGAATTTTTTGATGGAACTTCAAAATGTGTATCTTTAGTTGAAACAACAGATGCTGTGGGTTTTGATCTAAATTAAAGTAAATTAAGAATTATTTAAGTTTGAATATTGAAAACTAACTTCGAATGAATGTCAGGTTTTCGTCTTGGACCAGTTGTTGTTGTATTCGGAAATGGTTTAGTTTCAAATGTTGGTGAAATAACTAAAAGCAAAAAAGAATTAAATGAAAAATAAAAATTTCTTTTTCTTTTTCTACCAAAACATTCAGCTGGTTTTATTAGATTTTGTGGTGGAGTTATTGAACGTGGTTGTTGCTGTTGTAAAAGAATATCTGATCGTCGTCTTGCATAAACAACACCAGCGGAAGACTTATCATCAATAATGATATGATGAGAGGCACCCTCAGGTTCTTTGCGTATACTATTATCACTTTCTGTTGGTAATGAAAGAAGAGATGATGAAGAGGTTGAATTAGCTGACGATACTGATGAGGACGATGGTGATAAATTATGTGTTGGAACATTGAGATCAACAATGGGACGATTGACAGTATGTGTTGTTTTTGATGATATACCATCAATATCAAATGTTCCATGACGATTTCTTCTTGTTGTTGCATATCGTTTAAATGAAGATGCTGTTGATGGTGTTGAAATTTTTTCTTGTCTATCATTTTGTTGTTCAATATCTTGTTCAGGTTCATCATCATGTGCAATATCAATATCATCTTCAATAATATATGTACCTGCATCACTTAATGCATCTATATCATAATGATCACATGAAGGTGTTAGAAGAGGTGATGAATGATTGAGAACAGTTGTATAAGATTGTTGATTAGAAGATCGATGTTGTAAAGTGAAATTTGAATTACTATCATCTTTTAACATTCGATCGATAAGAAAATCATTTTGAATTTTTTTTAATGATTGATTCTCACAGAGTGGAACGTCTAAAAAGTAATATAATTGGAATTTTTTTCTTCTGTGTAAAAACAGAAAAAAAAAGAATTTCATTTTTTTATTATTACCTAGTTCAAAAGGGGAATGAAGGTCTTCTTCACCATTTCCTGCCATGTTATATGTATAGAGTTGCTAAAAAAAAATTCACCAACAGTAAAATCAAAACTTTGTTTTTCCTGTATTTCAATCTTACTGATTTTGAATTACGATGATTGTCTTTTCTAGTTTTAGCCACCGGTGGTGTAAAGTCTGAAATAAATCAATGGCGTAATAAGCGATATAAAAAAAAAGGTTTCTTTTTTTTTCCTTTCTGCACAATTTACTGTCAGCTGATTACATAAAAAATTTATTCCAATCAGCATTTTTCTTGTGAGGATTTACTTTTCGTTGATTATTTCAAAGAAGAGAAATAAACAAATTAGTGGACATTGCAATAATCAATATATTGTCAAAACAAAATTCCAGTAAATTTTCTAAATATAATATAACATTACATACTACTAATTATTTGGAAGGTCGACATTCTCGAATGAAAAAAAAACATATAAATTCTCTACATCCAAACATTTACATGAGGATTGATTTACTGTAAAAAGAATAATTTTTCGTATTGATTGCAAGAATACGAGATGAAATGGAAGCTTCAACTACAAAACGTCGGAAACATAAAGTTATAACAAAAGAATATTTAATGAAATTGTAGCAATATTATGATGAAGGTTGTATTAATATTCCAATGTTCTTGAAAGTTGTTGACTTGAGGTATTTTCAACACCCATCAAACAGCTAAATAGCCATATTGCTTTCTTTTTTGTTCGTATATTTATTGTAATTGGTTTTTTTTTGTCAACGGAAAGTAAATCCTCACACAAAAATAAAACGTTAATTGCAATAAATCTTTTATGTAATCAACGAACAGTAAATGGCGTAAACCCTTTGTCTTTTTTACCTAAAGTGAGTGCATATTTATTGTTGATATGATTCTAAAAGAAAAGAGCATATGTTTGATGTTTTTTTTTTCTTCTAATAATTAAATGTTTACTTACACCATTGGGTGAATTATCATCCTTCGTTTTTGTCGTTGCCGATGGGTTTCGGACGCCAGTTTTGCTACTATTACAAACGTCACTGACAATGGGCGACTAATAAAAACAAAGATGAATAAAAAAGAAAAAAAAAAAAGAAAAAGAAAGATGAAGCAGAATACATAGTGCGCTTTGTTTCATTCGTTCTTTCATACGATGGTTACTTGTTGAGAGAAGGTAAAGAAAGAAAGGCCGTTATACAAATTTTTTTTTTCTTTTCTTCTCTTTCTTTTATTCTGTCTTATATATCTTACCGTATGAGATTGTGGTGATGGTGAATCATTTTGAATGTTGCTCACTATTGATGAAGGTGTATTGAAGTCTGATGAGGTCGGAACAAAGTGTTGATGTGATAGAAGTCGTTTATTATTATTATTATTATTACTTGAAGATGAAGTAGCCAATGGAAAATGATCAGTGTTCTCAGACATTGAAGAAAATCAGTATTTTATAATAAGATGATAAAAGAGAGAAAAAAGGATCATCTAGAATAAAAAAAAAAAGATCGAGTATGATCATTATCTATCTCTCGTACGCACGATCGTTTCTAATCGATTCGTGTCTACATTGGTACTTGTGTCCGACATCATTACAACATGCACATGACAATGTAAAAATTATAATCAATATATAGAGTGTCCTCGACCTCAATGAAGTAATAAATCGCTCATCTCTCTTTTATTTAACCTAATAAAACAATTTTCATTTCTCAAATGAAAAAATATGTATATATTTCAAATCTTGTTGTCTTTCCTCATTGAAAAAAGGTTAATTCTCACCTAAAAATAATGTCAATGAAATTGACGTAAAAAATTCTTTGAACATTCATCTGATCGATTGCTCTATTTATAATAATTTGTTTTTTGTTCTCTCTATTCATCTACTGTGAACTATGTTCATATAATGAATAATAAAAAAAGCAACTATTACACATTATTTCTCACTTGACATATACCTTAAATGTTCACTCAAACAATTACCCATACATACACACACAAATCGATATGAAATTTTTAAAAAAGACAAAGAAATGAATTGCATTTTTTATTTCCGAATGATCTTTTGGACAAAAAAAAAAGAAAGAAACGAAGAGCACAAAAATTTTTAAATGAATAATAACAGAAGAAATAATGAATGAACTTGTAGTTTATCTTCGCATACACATTTTACGTCTGATATCAATGAAAAAAGAAAAAAGAAAACAAGAACAAGAGACACACAAGCATACGTACACAAGTCAGTAATAACAACTACAACAAAAATTCCTTTAATTTTTTTTTCTTTTTGAAAAGATCGTTCTTGAATAGAAAAAAATTTTTTTTTTAAATTTCTTCTCTTGATTTTAATTGAACATTCGAATTCGAATGAGAAAAATTGAATATATGATTTTATATACAAAAAAATACGCACATTGATTTAATCAAGTATAACTATATCATCATCAATATACGAGACAAAATTTGTATTAAGCTTTTTCCATGGTGCACGTGCAATACGACGAATTTCTTTTTGAGGAATTTCTTTTCGTAAACGTCTAAAAGAAAAAAAGAAAAAAAAAAGATATCATTAAATGAAATAACAAAAATCTTACTTAATATCCTTTGTTACACGTAAATAAATACCATCAGGAGCTGAACAAATAAAAGAAGGTATATGTAAATAACAATAGTATTAAATAATAATTTAACTTACGATCAATAAATGGTACAGTGTAAGCACGTGATCGAGATAATTTAACAGTACTCTAAAAAACAAAGATAAATTTAAATTATAACTATTTAATATTAATTTAGTTAACAACTATTCTTTTGTTATAATAAAGGATTATTTTATTCATTATATAATTTTTTTCTATTCATCTATTGATGATTCATATTCGTTATCTTGACTCAGATAGCTAATTATTAATCCTTGAGAGAAGAAAAGAAACGTCCTCATATGGCCGGAATGGTATGATATATCAATAAGATGTCTAGAAAAAAAAACGAACTGTTGATTGTCTAATCGTTCTTCATTTGTTTATTCTTGCTTTTTTTCTCATTTTCTGTATATTTCCTATTATAAGATGAGAGCTATTTCAAGGTTGAAAGAATATGACAAAAAAAATTCTATTTTCTTTTTTCTTTTTTTTTCATTAAGTATCCCATCAAAAGCAAAGAAAGATCTTTTTTACCGGTGATTTTGTTTTGATTAAATTTTGTCGACTAATTAATGTTCGTTTTGGTGATGGGCCTAGAAAAAAAAAAACAAAATCATGTTTTTTATTATATGTATTTGAAATAGTTATATTGTGATCACCTTCATTTGAACTTTCATTAGATTCATAAGGTCGTTTTTTCATAATACTCAAATTATTATGAGTAAATTGTGCATAAAATTCACTTGAATCTTCCTGTAATTTTGGATAACGCATTGGTAAATTAGTTTCATTTTCATTGAATATTTTTTCTTCAAATTTTGGCATATAATCATCAAATGTTTTCATATCATTATTTTCATTTTTAAATGGAAATAAATCATTTAAATGAGTTATTTTATAACGTTCTTTTCTTTTTCCATATAAATCACGAAGATGTGTACATGTATTACGAATATCTTCTTTTGGTTTTTCATTAATATGTGTTTCCCATTTACCACGTATATCACTTATATCAATACTATGTGTTGGACGACGTGCAAGACGTCGAATTGGACATATTGGACGAACAGCACGTGACAATGGTGTTGTATATAATGCAAATGTATTACGTGGTTTTGATAATGGACGTGGACTACCTGATCGAAACATTATTCCATGTCCAATAGCATAATGACGTTGAAGAGCAGATTTATTTTTACATTCCTGAAACAAAAAAAAAAGAAAACAAGTTTTTTTTTATGGTTATGACTCACAGCATCAAGTTTCAAGTATTACAGAAGAATATAAAGTGTACTTATCATCTCTCTGAATAAAATAATTTGTATGAAGAATCTATCAATGTATGCTAGTGCGTCTGACAAGATGAATCACTCAGAAACGAGATGGTAATCCTCTATATACTTCTTTTTTAGTAATAATAAACATTTCTACACGACTATATCTTTTTGGAAACATTTTGGCTTCTAGGCGATAGAGTTCTTAAGTTCGATAGTATAATGAAAGATTGAATAAATGGTTTTTTTTTGTCATGAAGAAAGTAAAAATTTGAACGTTTTCGATGACAATCACTATCATAAATTTTGAGGCAAGTCAAGGCGTATGTTGAGCAATAGCATAAAGAGTGAGTGTACGAACGAAGTTCAATAATATATGTTTTCGACTGATGTCTTATAAAACATTAGGAAGTTTGGCAGTATCGTAACGTTAGGTACGTTAAAAAATCTCGTTCAAAGTCTCTTCATACATAAGTCGCTATTCAATTGCATTCCGCTTGTTGTACAGCTGATAAGAAATTTGCTGAGTAATTCTTGCAGGACTGATTTAATCGTATTGTTTGTCGACAGGTAACAATACTTCCAAATCAGTAGTGGGTGTAGATTTTTGGAAGAGAATGGGACGATTATAGATAGAACATACTTTCTGGGTTCATCCAAGGTAATGTAAACTTGTTTTTGCTTGAAAAAATTTCTTGAAAGCGGGAGATCGTTTCTTCTCTACATTTACTACTGTTCTAAATGATTCCTAGAAAAAATTAAAGGATTGTTAAAGTGAACTACTACCCTCTTTTTCTCCCTCTTGTCAACGTATGAAAATTTTTTTCAAACATCTCTTAAATTGACTTTGCTCTGCCGCGTATAGTATACAGAAAATGACACATAGATATATCTTTAAATAACAAATCAAACTATGAATAACATACCTTTACACAACCCGTAACAGTACACTTATAGCTGACTAATTTATTAATATTCGCTGCTCGTTCTACAATTAATATTACAATTTAAAAGTTCAATATATTTTTTTTATCTTCAACTCAAACTTACCTTGTCGTCGATCAGGACCTAAAATTAAATATTAATATCATAAGAAATATGTTAAAAAATTTATCAAAAAAATCTTACCACTTTTTTTCGGATATTTTAAACCACCTAATTTTTTATAATAAATCCAACATTCTGCACAAAGTCGTGTATGTGGTTGAGCTGTATTCCATTGATACCATTGAGGTGATGAAGTAGCTTAAAAATAATTTATATATATATTTTTTTTTATTTTAAATCTTTAAATTTTAATTCAACATACTTCCACATGATTCACATGGTTTATTTTCACCTTGTGGTCGTTGTGGAAGTAAACATTGATGAGCTTTATTACTAAAAAAAAAAACAATAAATCAATCGAATAAATATTTGAGAAAAATAAAAATTATTTTAATACGAACTAATTTGGTATAAAAACTTGTTTAAGTTTATTTTCTTGTTCAGCTAATTTTAAACGTCGTTGTACAACATAACGATCTGTTGTTTTCCACATATAATAATATTCAATAATACCTTTTAAACTTTTCCATGGTAACTAAAAATTTAGATAAAAATAATTTTATTCCAATGAAGAGAGATCTCTCTTTTTTTTTACATATTCTTTTTGTATTTCAATAAAATCTTTTCCACATTTTTCAATAGCATCTTCAAATGAATTTGCTTCAGCAGCTGACCAATCTTCCATTTGATCTTTAACAAGTATTGGACCTGTATTTGGTACTAAACTACATGTAGCTAATGCTAAATCATAATGATGTTTATGTAATGTATCCATAGCAAAAAACTAAAAGTAAAATAATTAATTAAACAAAAATTTTAAAAGTTTCTTTTTATTTTTGTTTACCAAAGTAGCATCACGTGAGGCTGATGCTGCACTCATATGAAGACTTGGATGTTTTAATGCTGTTGGACAATCAAGTGCACGTGCGAATGTACCAATTGATCTATTAAACAAAATATTTCAAGTTGATAAATAAAAGCTGTTAGCGTAATCCTCGTGAGATTAAAATGTGAATCACAATGTTATGCTGATGCTGCTCATAGAAGGGTCGTTCTATTCTATCTATTTTAGAACACATTTTTACTTAACCATCCAGAAATACAATAAGAAAGTAGTTAATTTATTACATCGACACTTTATTGGTAAACAATCTGTGAGGCAATGGGAGAGAATATTGCTAAGGTGTCTGTTACAGTCTGTCGGAGGTCCAAATTTTGTGTCCCTATACACTTCATCATTTCTTTTAGATCATGTTTCACAAAAAAAAACAAAAACTAATGAATACCGAGCGACAATTAAAAATTGTTCAATTTGTTTTTCTGTTAAACCACCATTTGCATCCCAAATTAATTCTTCTCTTGATGGAAGATTTGCTTAATTAAACAATAGAAAAAAAAACGAATATTAATATTTATAAAATTAAAATTTTATTTTATTTTCTTTTTTGATATACCTTCTTCAGGTCCATCAGTATATAAAGGTTGTGTTGGTACATCAGCTTGATATTTTCCTCCAACACGAATTTCACCACGATCAGCATTTAATGTTTTTTGATTTGGATCATAAACAAGTTGATAAAAAAAAAGATCCTATAATAAATACAAATAATATTTTGTTTATTTTTTTTTTCTTATATTTCAATTAAATGAATTTATATATTAACCTCAGTATTAAGATAAGATAAAAATGATTCGGTTTCATTATGAAGTGTAACTAAACATTTTCCACGTATATTCGTTGCTAATAATGTTTCAATCTGACGTGTTAAAAATAATTCCCGATGACGTAATTGATGTTTTTGTGTATCATTTAATTCAGTTGATTGAGATGATGAATTATTGCCAGTTGATCCCGATGGATTAGTACTAGTACTTCCATTTGTATCTGTAGATACTTCGTCATCATCATCCCATGGACCTTTCAAAACAAAGTTTTTCGTTATTTTTGTATGTTATTTAAAAATTTACCATCAATTTTAAGTCGATCAACTTGATTAACTAGATAGGCTGATATGTCACGACGACGATAAAAACAAGCCACACGAGCTTCAACATTACCATTAGGTGTCTAAATAAAATCGAATTATATTGATTTCATCGGTAAAATTGGTTTTTCCTTAGTACGTCAATCAAAAAAATACATTTGATGGTAGGCTTATCAATATCAACAGAACATTTGCTAATAAATGCGTAATAGACAAGAACAATAACTTTGATCTTAATCTATTACGTAGTAAACACCATCGATAACCTAGAAGGATTAGATATCTTTTCTTTCTATCAACGTTTAATCTCTCTTTCGTCATCATCTTATTTACAGATGTGGGAATTAAAAGACAAAACAAAATTCATTATTAATTCACTACTAATAAAAATTTCATTATTCGATTTTAGTCACGATGCTTACCGTGGGTGGAACTCACATTAGTCTGTAATCCCCAATGTTCTTTTTTTCAATGTGCAATTCTCACCTCAATTTCTTCTGCATTAGAAACTTTGAATATAAGAATGATGTCTCTATAGTTAAAACACGAACAATCATCTATACACTTTTTCTTTTCCAATGAAGACTTTAGAATATAAAATGACATTGACAGGGAATATGTTAAGAGAAGAACGAAGTCGGAAAAAAATTAATAGGGGACTTTTCTTTTTCTTTTTATCATGTCTTCTTCTTATTCTAGTAAGAAAGATCGTAATTCGACAATAAAAATATGTCGATATAACTCAATTACGAAATAGATGACATCCGTTTTTGAACATGTTATTATAATAAACAAACCTTATTTAATTCTTCAATTCGTCGAATTAAATAAGGTTCACTTGGAGTGCCTTCAAAATAGACATAATCTATAATAAAAAATAAAAAATAAATTAGAATATACGATATTATTATTATTTATATGATTCTTACCGCCCACACGATACATGCACGAAGCCATAATTATAACTTATGTATTCACTGGGATAATTCGTCCATTCTTTGTAATCTATTTAATTCTAAAATAAAAACGAAAACAAAAAAAATGAAGATTCAATGTTCATCAACATACAATTTTTCTGTTCTGAAAGGAAAAAACAAACAAACAGTTGGGCGCAACTTAAAAACAACACATACACACAACAGTTTTTATAAAAATCAACAACAACAACAGTGTGGCGTTTTTTTTCTTTTGTTCGATGCTATACTAACACAAAAAAAAATTATGTACAGATAAACATGTCGAAAACACCAAAGAGATATGAGAAATTTTGATATTTGTTGTTGTTACTTGTTTCTTTATTTTTTTCTTGAAATAAAATATCATCGAAGAAAGAAATTTAGATAAAAGAATAGAAGATTTTTTTTTGACTAAATTTGATATTAATTCCAGAGATAAGTTATTGATGCTATGAATCAACTAAATTTTGTTGTTGATTGATCATATTAGTAACTGTTTTTAATGTTGTTTCATCGACTAATTTGGAATTAGAATTTGACGAATTTAATTGTCGGAAAGCAGATTGACGTTTGCATTGACGATAATGACGTTGTAAACTACTTGGATGACTAAAAGAAAATTTTTCTTTTCAGCTGTCATATAAATATAAATAATAATAGATTGAGAAAATCGAATTAGTTCATATAGAAAGACCAAATTCTTAACTGTTTACATAACTGAAACATAGTGCGCAATTTCTATCGAGCACGTGAATATGATTTATTTACTGTCGAAAAGCACTTTTTTAAATAGAAAGATTAACTTCTTATACTCAAGAATATGATTGATGGGCAAAAAAGACAATTTGCGATGGAAAAATTCTGACAGGGATCCTTACCCTTAACTTCTGTGAAAAAATTTTTTATTTTAAACATTGACAAATGTTACATTATTCGATGCAGTTTTTTACGCTGATTCCAAATATGTCTTTATTTTCCACTCAAAACGCTTCTATGACGAAGAAATTACGAAAAACATTTTAAAAATCAAGGCTTTTAGTAAATCTACATCTTAGTGCAGAAGTATTTATGCTAACTGAGTATATGTCCCAGATATAGAAGAACATTGTCTGAATGTTTTATCGATGTCGGACTAGTGAGAAAAAGTGACGAACAACTTTACTGAAGACATCTTTTTGGAAAATGAATAATTATTTTTTCAGAACAAAAATTTTTTCTTATAAATTGATAGAGCAGAAGTTCTAGTTTCAGACTATATATATGATTTATTGTCCAACTCTTTAAAAAAATGATGTTTTTCTCTGTAAGTGCTAAATTTACGACTAAGTTTTTTCCAATGAATTTAGTAGTTGAGAGAAAATTATTGTTACCTAATGTCTATGTTGTTGCTTACTGTGTAAAACTTTGTTTTTTATTTATAGGAAACATTCTTGTGAAATCGTTTGTATTACAGTTGACTTCCATTCAAAATTAGGTTGATTAGTATAAACTTTTTTGTAATTTAAAATAAGCTTCATTAAAATCTATCGATATGAACTTAATTAATTAAATTTTGAGAAAAAAATCTTCTCATTGAAAAATATATATCAAAATTTTCATTTTGAATTGATAATTCGTTTGTGAGTCAAGACTATGTGCATTATATAGATTCAAATGAATTATGAATATCCTGAAAAAAAGTTCATGTCCTTACCTTATTGTTGTAGAGATGCTACATTTTTATGGTGTATTTTTAATGAATACCATGGTCCTCCTCAGAAACACTAGGAAAACTAATTTTTGAATTTCGATATAGAGACAGGCTTTCATAAGAATAGTTTATTGTGGAAGTTTTAAGTCTTTTGATTTGCTTCTATCCTGAAATAAGAAAATCAAATCTATGAACGATGTAAAAGACACACTTTTGTCATAGTTATATCTTAGGATAGGAACAACGAAATGATCTGAACCTCTCACAAGAAACTATTCTTATCAAGGTCTGTCTTTGCGCAGAGTTTCAAATCGAAAACAAGTTTTCTTGGTGTTTCTGAGGGAGATCACAATATTCATTAAAAATATACCGTAAAAGTGCAATAACTCTGCTGCAATAGACTAAGGACACGAACTCTTTTTAAGATATTCAAAGGTCATTTGGATCTACATAATGCACGTAGTCTCAACTCAAAAGTTATTGAACAGTTGGAGAACTTTCCTTGTAGGATTTAGAGAACTGTGTATAATGAAAAAATTTTCTAGTGAAACTAAGCATAATTGTTAACATATATTTCATCGAATTTGCGATTAAATAAGAATATCTTATGATTTATGCTAAATGTTTGATAACTTACTAGCATTTTCCACAACTCATACAAATTCTTCTCTTTTTATTATTATTATTTAACATTGTTGTTATTGTTGATGTTGTATTATTTGTTTGTTTTTTTTCCATTAATAGATTTTTTTTATTTGGTAAAATTTTTTTAATATCTGATGATATTATTTTCTCATCTTTATTTGTTATTGAATCATTACCAACAAGAAATGAAAGTAAACAATGTTCATATGATGTTGGACTTGGTGTTGATGGTGGTGGTGTACCTGTTGTTGAATAATCTGGAACATCTTCATCATCATGATTTGTATCTTCATCATCTTCACTTCCATCAACTATTGTTGATGTTTGTATATCATCTGTTCGATGCCGTTTCCATATAATTTCACATTCAATTGAATCATATATATTTGGTGTTTGACGTTCTTTTAAATGTAAATCATATTGAAGTTCGGAAAAATTTTTTTGTAATTGTTTTATTGTTGCTTGAATTTTTTCCATTTCTTGATCTTAAAGAGAAAAAAAAAACAAGAGTTACAAAAGATTTCTTCATTCAGTTTTTGTTGTTTTCGTGCACAAAAAGAAAAAAATTAATAAGAACAAACCATAGGTACTACGAATAAATTTCATTTGTTCAAGATCAATTCTTAATGCTTGTATATGTGATGATTGTTCAAATTGAAATTGTTGTAAATAATTACTTAATTGTATATAATTTGATTTTATTGATGAAAGTTTTTCTTGATAAACATATTCAATTGTTCGTATTAAATTTTTACGCCATTGATCAAGGGAATGTATTGTTCGACGAAGTGATTCATCTAATTTTAAATTTTTTATTTGATCTTCTATTCAATATATAAAATAAAATTTTATAATAAATAAAGATAAATTTAATTTTACCAAGTTGATCAATAGCTAATGTAAAATTATAAGCATTAAGTGATAATTGTTCATTATGTTTAAGAAAATGAACAAAACAATATTGTTGAGAACAGTGAAGACATAATGCACATTTAGCTGTTGAACATGTTCGATCATCACATGCTGTTGTTGAAATTGATGAAATACTTGACAATGATAGACCATTTGATTCAGTTGAAACAGAAGATGCACTATTTGATGACATTTTCTGTTTTTTTCTTTTTATTTGTTTAGAGAAAACAATTTTTCTGAAAAGATAATAATATACGGTCAATATGCGCGTTTTGACCACTGACAGAACGACAAATAAATAAAAAGAAAATCCTAGATGAAGAGGAAGAATAACCGATCAATCATCAACAAACAAAACCAAGAAACATTAAAAAGATACTTTGGTCTCTATAAAAAGTCATGATATAAATTTGTGAAAATTACAAAAGAAAAATATGCAAAAATGAGTAATATATAACTATAAATATGATGATATACAACGAAAATTTTAACAGATAGATTTATCGTATAATGGCGCCATCTTATGGAGATTGCTTTTGACATAGCGATTGCCTTTCTGCTATAACTATAAGCATCATAAGATAAACATGAATTAAATATACGTAAATGAAAAGAACATCTGATAGCATTTCTTATTTGTTTGGTTTAGTCTTTTATCATCTATGAACCTTTTGTTTATTTTTACAAAATAATAACATCATCGTTTACTGTTCAATCATGTTTTCTTATATTAATACATAAAACAGTGAAAACTATTACGTTTTCTCTGTGGTGGTGATAGGGTGGCATCCAGCCTTGGTTATCACACTACATAAAACTGTAATAAATATCGATAGTCGAACTTTTTTTTCCATGATCATGAAGTTTTTGAGCATTTTGAGCAAGAAAGTTTTGTGGTATGGGCACATCTTGAAGTTTGTACATGTCAAACACATGAGAAAAAGTTCGACTAGGGATAGGTTTTCAATAAGTTTAGTCTATCATCATGAGAAAACAGTAGCATAGAAAATATTTGACATTGAAAAATAACATTTTATTTTATGCATACTTAAAGAAAATCTTTATTAATAGTAATATTTTGTTTTCTAAATATGTCAATTAATTTAATGTATAAAAGAAAAGTTTTTTCAAATGTTAAAATCCTAGAAAGATTTTTGTAATTATCAGAAAGATATTAAGAGAAAATTTTTTTTCAATAAAATCTAGTCTAGAATAATACTAATTGTACAACAATAAGTTTCATTTAAAAAAAATCATTCTCAAAACTTTTGACTTCTCTTGATCATGAAACAACTTCAATCAAGAATGATTTATCTGCTCTATAGTTGTTAAAGTCTTTCAATAAATACGGAGAAATAATAGTTTACGTATCTATATTCGAAGCCAAACAAAAAAAAACAATATGATTCAATTAATTGTCATTTTTCTATCTCTCAAACTTTTATATGAATGACACATGATCATTATTTTTTTCCACATGCATTAATAAAATCTAATCAAAAACACATCTTGGAATCAAGCAGTTTACTGTTTTCTTTTATTAATGCGTTGCGAAGCATAGTATGTATATAAACGGTCGTGTACGCATTCGGTCTCCATTCTTTACGTTTTTTCTGCTGTAATAAAAACCGTACTTTGGATTGCGATGTTCGAGAGTGCGGCAAGTCGCTAGAAATTCGTTCTAACTATATTCAGGTGATTCTTTCCTAGAGATAATACAAAGGTTTTTGAATCTTCAATATGAGTTTTCATGCATCCTCAGAAAGTTCCGCAAAACGGTGGTTTTGATGGTGAGCTAGTCTCATGTTGCACATTACTTTCACGTAGATGCAGAAATTGTGTTGGAATCTTACTAACATTAACAACAATTGATCCGATTATTGCTAAAAGTGCATATACACGCTCAGATATATCAACAGGATGGTCATTATTAACAAAAATTGTTTCATCCAACTCAATTGAATGTTGATGGAAACTATCATTAAGTGATGACAGCACAGTATTAAGACCAATGTGGCTTAAAGTAAATTATTCATGACAAAAAAGTTTTGTTGTATTAATTTATCTTCGTATATAGAATGGGTATGTCAATGTTGATATATGTCAATTTACAATAAAAGATTTACTTAATAAAGGTTCTTTTTTAATAAAAATATGTTCTAAAAATTCTGAAGGCTAATCATTAAAATTAGAATAACCAGTTAAATTAAGATGTAAAATCGATGTACCTGAATCATCAGCTAAATTTAATGTTACAACTAGAAAAGATTAATCAATAACATTACAATAGGAAATGTCACGTAATGATGATGATAGTCCATTAATAGAATATTTATTAGAAATGTGTGATAAAAAAAGGTAAAAATAATGAATAGATATAAGTACAAATTTTACAAGCAATAACAGCAAGGTTTTTTTTCGAGTAACAAAATTAAACTAAACTACCTATTGGGTTGGCAAGAAAGCCTTTTGCGTTTTTTTCGAAAATTTAAAAAAAACTTTTTAACTTAAAGAACACAACTAGCTTTCAACAATGTATGCTTCATTACTATCTATGACTTGTCGCCAACGCTCTGGCAGCGAAAGGATTCGGCGTTCGTAGAAATCCTGGGGCTTTTGGCCGAAAAAGTTAGCGAGGTCCATTTCGAGGTCGCTTTTGTCGTCAGAGTTTCTTCTCGCGCAAATGGTTAGAGAAAGAACGGAACAAATGGTAGTCCGTAGGAGCCAAGTCTGGAGAATAAGGTGGATGTGGAACCGTAGCCCATCCGAACTCCAATAATTTTTGACGCGTCGATTTTGCAATGTGAGATCTGGCATTGTCATGCAAAAAATCAATTCTATCCTGCTTCCCTTGGAGTTTTGCTGCAACCTGGTCTAATTGCTGACGTTAGAGATCAGCAGTGATGGTGCAACCCGTTGGAAGAAGTTCCCAATGGATAATTCTTCTTACTTCCCACCAGACGCTCACCATAATCTTCTTTGGATGAAGGTCATCTTTGGGTGTTGCTACAGCTGTTTGTCCAACTCCCAGTCATTGCCGCTTGCGCGTGTGGTTAACATACAACACCCACTTTCCATTGCCAGTAATAGGATTGTGGACCCATTGGTAGTTGCGATGAAACGTCATTAATTCCATACATGCGTCAACTCTGTGTTGAAGCTGATGTGATGACAAATCATGTGGCATTCAAACTCAATATTTCCAAGCTTTGCCTAATTCGCTCAGATGTGTTTCCACTGTAGTACGAGAGCATCCAAGACGTTCTGCTAAACACCGTGTGGTCAATATAGGATCTTCTTCGATAAGCTGCTTTAAAACATCAATATCCACCTTTAATGATGTTTCGGAACGAGGTAAATCGTCGAGTTCGAAGTTATCGTTTTTGAACCGATTGAGCCAATGTTGCGCTGTACGAATGGAGAACGTATCCTTGCCCATCATGCTGCATATATTGCTTGTTACTTCCGTTGCTTTGTAGTCCAAACGGAATTCATGAAGCAGAAGCATTCGGAGCTCTCTACGAGATATCTTCATTTCTAATTCAAGATCAACGTCCGTATCCATAGTTTTGTTGTTGTTCGAAAGATATTCGTACCCCTTTATATACCTTTAGTATGGAAACTTCTAGAACTTTCTTGACTGTTCTAGGAAATTTAAAAAAAAACGCAAAAACTTTCTTTCCAACCCAATATTAAATTATAATGAATAATGTAATATACATCACAAATACAAAAAGCAAGGAAGATATCTTGCTTAAATTTTTATTATATTCAGAAGAAACAAACTAATAGAATAGTCTAAACTAAGTTAATTTCTGTTTCAAATTGAGAGAAGACATAAAATTTAGAAGTCTTAATGGCCAATATGACTTCTAGGAATAATTTTTATTGATAAGGTGGATATGTCATCTACTCTGGATGGAATAGTTTTTTCTTTAAACACATTACATGCATGTATTTTTTAATGCTAATACAGAAAAATGAAAAAAATGTTTTTTTTGGATGTTAAATTAGTTTTTTTGGTAAAAGCTGGGTTATTGTGCAGTAGTAGATTATATCACAGTCTGTCAGGTTGCTTCATTACCTCACTCAGGAGGATTTTCTGTCCCTGTTATGGCAAAGCAGTGTAGTGCTCGGCAAGGCCGTTATGTTTGTAGGCCTCTGTCGTCGTTATTTTATGTCATACCTACGTTTATTGCCCAACCAATCTGGCGTGGTCCGCTGTGGATGTACCCATATTAGGCTTACAGGGAGTCTCCCTGGTCACGCGCGCGTACGCGATAATGAGCTGAGAAAAGCCAAAAAGGAAAGTGAATAGCAATGCGAATAAATTTATTGAGCAGACAAGAAAGAAACTTTACAATTTCTTTGGAATTTTTTCGAGTGTCTCTCTGTAGTCCAGAAGATGAGGATGATTTGAAGACAATTTTTCTTGAGCAATTTCTACCGCTTGTTGAACACTTTTCATTGTCATACTATATTTTCCAGTGGACAAATATAATTTCGCTATATTATGATAGATTACAGCTACATCAGGATGGTTTTTTGGTAGGTTCTTTTCACGTATTTCTAATCCTTTTTCGAAATATGTCAATGCTGTTGAATAATCTTTCATTTCTCGATATGTTTCATCTAAATTTGTATATGTTGTTGCACATTCCAGAGGATTACATCGAACTTTCTCTTGAATATTTAATACTTTTCGGTGAAACGAGAGTGTCCTTTCATAATCACCCATTAATCGATGAATATCACCAATATTACTGTATATAATAGCCGGATTGGGATGCCTTTCAGGTAACATTTGTTGAAATATTGCGAGGGCCCTTTCAAAATAATCTAGTATTTTTGAGTAATCTTTCATACTGCGATAAATCTTTCCAAACCAGTTGTATGTAAAAGCACAAGCTAGATTATCTTCTTGAAATGCATTTTGTCTAATTTGAAAAGCATATGTAGTAGCCTTAGGAGCTGCTGCGTAATTACCCAAGCCATGATACGTCGAGCTGATGTTGTTGTAGGAAGTAGCCAAATCGGGATGATTGGGAGATAGAGCTTTTTGGTAGATTTTATGTGTTTTTTCGTAAAATTCAAGTGCTTTCGAGTAGTCACCCATGTCATTATACACTCCACCGATGTTATTGTATGAACTAGCCAAATGAGGATGATGCGGAGGCAGAGCTTTTTCTTTAATTTGATGTGCTTTTTCGTAAAATTCAAGCGCTTTCGAGTAAACATCCATCTTGTTATACGTCAGACCGATGTTGTTGTAGGAAGTAGCCCAATCTGGATGAGTCGGTGGCAGAGCTTTTTCTAGAATTTGATGTGATTTGTCATAAAATTCTAGAGCTTTCGAGTAGTCACCCATGTTGTGATACGCAAGACCGATGTTGTGGTAGGTATTAGCCAATTTTAAATGATCTTCCAGGAGAGTTTTTCGATAGATTTCGAAGAATTTTTCGTAAAACATAATTTCGTTTTCATATTGACGTTGGTGCCATTTTACTCTTCCTAGCTCGTGACAGATATATGCTCTATCACTGTCGTTGGGTGTCTGTTCGAATAGTGCGTTATACAACTCTTCGGCCTTCTCAAATTGGCCTATTATCGGCAGCAATTTACCCATTCGATACCAACCAGTGCCGTCGACCTCCTCTTGTATACGATCGGTTAATTGACAAAGTTGTTGGTGATCATTAGACATAAGTTTCAGATCCACTTCATAAAGTGGACTTTGCTTATCAAGCTTTCGAATTTCATCAATTCGAAAAACTGTATGCATCGAGAAGAGAATTTCTTCTTCGTCCTTGAAATAACTGATCTCCTGAATGGAGGCAAACGGAGTCGATGAGACAGTAGGATTTATTGTCATTTGAAAAAGGATACCGACCATATCGGTTGCTCCCAAGGTGCCTTCGGCAAAAGCGAGGGACACACAAGGGGGAAACAGCAGACTTGAAGTAGAAAAGTACGGCAAAGTACTTTACTTGAAGCAGGCTTGAAGTAGCTTGAAGTAATTGTAAGTAACTTCAAGTAAATTTGAAGTTGAAAAGTACTTCAAAGTACTCCACTAGAAGTAGGCTTAAAGTAGCTCAAAGCAGTTCAAAGTAGCGCAAAGTAGCGCCAAGTACTTGAAGTACAAAAGTCTGCTGTTTCCCCCTTGATTAGATTACAAATAAGTGCATCTGTGAGCGGCTTCACTCTGTTAATAAATATCTATTCATGAACATTAGTTTACTTACATTTTCTTATAATTTATTGAATTCTTATCTATCTAGTTTCACACTCCTCGTTTAAACAGACAGCATTCAACCTATTGACCACAATATCTATTCATGTTTATGTCTCAGGTTTTCTGATAAATTATTGAAAAAAAAAGAAAGTGAAATGCATGTAACTGATCAATGTCTTTATTTTTCAATATTCTATTCATCCATCTCTTGACAAATGATTATTTTGAATGGCAACAAATAGTTGCGTCTAATCGGTAATCATGCTCGAATTCATCAATCATTGGTTGTATTGTTAGTTGATTAAGTGGAAGACATAAAATGACATAATTGAAAAACGAATATCAGATAAACTAGGCAGCATTTTTGACTAAATCTTTTGTAACTTTTTCACATATAGTAATAATTGTGAGGTGTGAGATCTAAACATGATTTCAAATAAATTTTTACCCTGCCAATTGATTGAATGAATGTGATCCATACTTGTAAAGTGGTTTGAAATATGACATTGGTTCTTTTTTTTGTATATTCAATACATTTTCTTGAACCAATATTTACCTCAAACCAAATAAGAGTTGTTCTTGCTTGGTGTTCATTAGTAATCATAAGCAAAGATTGTCTATTTGAGCTAGAGAGACTATCCGAGATTAAGGATGATGTTTTCCTTGGCATAAGAATCCAGCATAACTTTTATTTTTTATCTAAATGTTGAACTCATAAACGAAAGTGCAAAAAAAAACAAAGTATAAAATCATACAGAGGTACCTTCAATCTCAATATACGTTGATTATGTTTTTGTACTTATCGTAGTCAAATCGAATATTTTCCTTTCATTATTTTGTACCTATGTGAATGTTTGGATAAATGAAATATGTCTATTACTAGTGTGCTGTTGAAAAATATGCAATATTCACTTATTTATAATGGACAATGCAAAAACTTATAGCAGTGTGTAATAATTTGTTCATTTTTGAGGCCCTTAGTCAGTTTAATTATCAAATAAACCAGATATACTTTAAGAAATCATCTATCATACTAATAATCTAACTTCTATTATACACTTATAATACAAAAATTATTATTGTTTTTTATGATGCAGATTTCAATATGCTCATCGTTTCTAGCTGATATTCGAATGTGATCTGTCTGACTGAAGAATCTTCTATACAATAGTCTTCAGCATGATTTATCATATCAATATTTATTTTTACGATAAAATTACAGCATTAACACGATGTTGCAAATATGCTTTGGAAAATCGGATTGACTTCGTTCAATTTGTATTTCAGAAGGTTATCTCTTCTAAAAGTAAAAATGAGTTCTTGTGAAAACGCTGAACTTTTAGTTTGAACAACGAAATGTTGCTTAAACAAACATCAATAAAATATCACCTAGTTGTCATATTAGATTCTATCAATAAAATATTATGAAGTCTATTGATTATCATATATTGAACAATACTATTACATGTTTATTGATCAAATCATTTTAAAAAATATTCGAAAATTTTTTTTTTCAATTTTCGATATCAGTTAATAGATGACTTAGACAAATACAGAAAACTTGTCTTTCAAACTGATATTCATATTGCTATGCAGAACGATCAAAGTTAACACATAAATTTGTTTTTTTTGGATTTATATGCAATCGTTTTGTTATTCTGTATAGATCAAATTATCAAAGCAAGGTCATGAAAAATATCACTGGAATATATCGCTGTGTCTGACAGGTGGCTAAAAACTGCACACTTTTTTCTAATGTATACAATCATAGCTTCATCTTAATCAGAAACGATCTATAAATTTTACTTTATATTATTAGACCCTGAAAAAAAAATGTGTAATAATCTATTGGAATCGTCTTCGATGAATAGAGACATCTATTGTCATTAAGATGCTGTTTTTTTCAGCACGTACTTTATTATAATCCAACAAGTACCAAAAACTCATGAATTGATTTGATTGATAGACACACTCTCTACGCGTCAGCTTCTCTACCCTTTTATAAAATCGGATAGCTCGAACCTTCATTTGAGAGTGATTACTTCACTAATTCCATTTTGTTTATTCATGTTACCTTAGTGAATGATCACTATTCCTCGTATATTCAACGACGAAAATTATGGTTGATAATGAAAAACGAGAAAATTTGGCGAATGCTCGTCGAAAAGTATATTTATTTATTTATTTATTATTCTTTTATATTAATTATTTGAATATATTAGTTAAAAAAATTTCGCGATCAACGACAACAACAACAAAATGGTAACGATCATTTGACCTTCACTGCAGACACAAATGGTATCGATGGAGTAAGATTTTTTCTTTTCAAACATAGTTTTCCTGAATAAAATTCTTTTTTCTTGATTCTCTCTAGACATCTAGTGAATCTATTATCAATTACACTAACACGTAAGTTTATTATTATTATTTTTTTCATATCTTCCATTTATTTAAAACATTTGTTTTTATTAGATCTCGTACGATACCACAAGATGTATCTACGTTTGTTAATGAACAACAAGCTATACTTAATGGAATGCATGAAAATTTAACAAAATCTCCTGTTCTTGAATTAGAAGTAAGTTATAGAAATATTTATATTTCATCTGCATGAAACTTACTAATATATATATTTTTGAGGAACAAAATCGTCAATATGTTTTATTAATTGAAAATCAAAAACAACAACGAGCTCGTCTCGAAGATCAACGACAATTTGATGCTGGAAGTAGTATGGTAATCATTTTTTTTGCAAAAGAAAATTTAATAATACAAATTATTTTTTGAATTTTTTCTTTTTGTTTAGTCTGGTCGTTTAAGTCAAACTCAACCTGATATGGAATTTGCACGACAAATTGAACATAAATATCGTCGTGATCTTGAACATTTACAAGAACAACTTGAAGTAAGGATTTATTTTAATTATTAATATTGGAGATTAATAATTTTTTTTTGTTCTTATCAATTATTAGATACATGTTCAAACAATTGGTATTCTAGTAGCAGAAAAAACTGATTTATCAGCTAAATTAAGTCAATCCGTAAAACAACTCGAACGAAAACAAAATGAAATGGATGAAGTTCAAGGACGTCTAAAAGCATCACGTGAACGTGTTGAAGAACTTGAAAAACAAACACAAAATTCAACATTTAATGCACACAAACGAGAAATGGTTTTAATTAAATTAAATATTCATTTATTTATTCTTCCATGTATCTTTTTTTTTCTATCTTTAGGCAGTTAAAGAATCGGATAAAGAAATTGATCGACTTAAAACAGAAAATATTCGTCAAAGGTTCAATATTCTAATAGATTTTATGTTAAAAAAAAATTGCATTTTTTTTTTATTGTAGTCAAATGATCGAAGATCTAAAACAAAATTTAAATGAATTAGATGGAAAAGTTAATAGTCGACAAAATATAAATGATCAATTAAATAATGAAATAATAAAATTACAACAAAAATTAGAACAATCAGAAATTCGTTTGGAACAATTTCAAGTTTGTAGAAATATTTTATATCTTTTTTTTTTTTTTTGTTGTTTAAATAAATTTATTTTCGTTTGTTTCATTAGTCGATTAATGATCCATCAATGGCAAATAAATATGAACAACAAATTGAAGAATTACAAAGAATAGTTTCATTAAAAACAAACGAAGCAGAAGCAGTAAGAGACTATCGTTTTAAATACACATTTTTTTTTTATTCATTAATGAATCAGAAAAATTACTTCCGAAGTAATTATTCATATCAAGTAGAAATATAGAACTTTTCAAATAATCATTTAAGACTAGGAATAGCCTTTAAGCGCTGGTAGTTTGAACTATTTCAGGTTAATTTATTGATTTTCAAAGCTATACATAATAGAAATATTTCAAGATGTTTGAGTTCTCTCAAATAAAATTGTAAATAAACATACTATTTTAATCGGAATATCGAATATTTTGTCTTTAAAGAACCTCTACAAAAATGAAATTCTTTTTTCCAAGCATACAATCTTGATGCAATTTTCAGTGAAGGTGTATGTCGAGCTGAACACCTGACAATAAAAATTTCAGTTCGATACATTGAGTTTACGAAGAGTTAGCTTAAGATTAAGAGTCCAAATTGAAGTTTCTGTGCGTCCAAAAATTC